CCCCAAAACCCCAAAACCCCAAAACCCCAAAACCCCTGTTCCTAGAAATTAGTTGAAAATTAGAGCCTAAGTGAAAATTAATTGGTCTTTTTATTTTGTAAAATTATTAGTAAGCGACCTGGAAGATTTCAGTTAGAAGAGATCTGCAAATTCACTATCTTCATTTTCATCCTCATTGTCTACCTCATCATCCTCATCTGGATTGTTAGGCTCTGTAGGCCCTTCAGACTTTAACTGTCTTATCACATCATCTTTGCCCTGGAATTCAGACTTTACTAAGGTAGATGGCTCGTATTCATCTTCAGAAGAATCTTCAATTTTCTTCTTTCTGTTGCCTTTCTTGCAGATCTCTTTCATATCAACCTTTATTTTTTGCCGTTGAGCCTGCTTTGAAGAAGTTTTAGTTTTAGTCTCAAAGACCTTCTTGGGCTGCCTTGGGTACATTTTCTCAACATCAAGTTTATCAGTAAGCTTGGGTGACAAAACCTTCTTTGGTTTTATTTTCTTTCCAAGCTCGGCACGCTCTTCCTTGACTTTCTCTTCGTCCAGCTCAATGGGAGGATCAATTTTAGTGAAATATTTAGTACGAATGTCTAGTTCATGCTGATTGAGAGGACGTAGCCTTATCCGGAGCAATCTATCAGAAGGTTCATTATCCTTCTTGTCTGAATTAGCCATAGTCTCAAGCATGAAGTTGCCTTCTTCTTGCTTAATCATCTCCTTCTTTACTCTCTTGTTGTTCGTGCCAATGTCGGTGGCTAGCTCGCCTGGAGGCGCTGAATAAGGGTTTCCACCATATTGATGAGGCACAAATGAGATATTATTCATTTTAGAATTCGTCATCATTGTTCCAAATGAAGAAGGTCCCTTTTTAGATTTTGCTAAGTTCAGCTTTGTATCTACAAACAAAATTCTCATTTGGCCCTCAGTCTCAGTTTTTACAAGATAACATTCCTTCTCTCTGTCCTTGACTTGAGTAGTAACTCTGAAGTCATCATTGAAGGTATACTGGCAAGGAGGCTTGATAATATTTGTCGATAATTTTTGCTTGTACTTGAAGCATTCTACTTCTTTTTCAGAGTTTAATTTTAGCATATGGGTCATATTCCCCTGGTTCTCAAGAAATTCCATTCCAATCTTATCATAATAACTTGTGATATAATATGTCTGCATGAGATTCTCAAAGTCTGGGAATAGCTTATGACACTTCACCGCAGTAACCTTGCCATTTGAGCCTGGTTTTTTCATCCCGATTTTGACCTTCTTGATGTAATCAAAGGATTCATCGATTCTTTCTCACAATTTTCTAACCTGACGAGGCTCTAGGGCTGTTCCAGCCATCATAAATTCAGTTTCATCAATATTTGGCTCAAAACTGCTAACCTTCTTTTCACATATAGGTGGGTTGGGTTTTGATGGTTTAGTGTCCACCAATTTAGACTCTGATGCTTTCTTGGCCATCTCTTCTTTCTTAAGCTCAATCCTACGATTTTCTTCTTTCTTTAAATTCTGGTAGTTGGTAAGCTGCTTACCTACTATTTTGGGGCTGGATATCTGCTTCTTATAAGGTTTTCCTTTGATTTTATGAAATAGAGGGGCAAAGTTGTAAGGAGAGGGGTTTGAAGAATCTTCCGAATCTGATTCTTCTTTGGTAGTGTAGTTTAGGCATAAATTTGCAAGCTCAGTCTCATTTTCTGTAAGTTTCATGCTTTTTCGGGGTTTTGCAGTATACACTTGGTCTTCTACCATATTCATGGTGACAAGAGGGTTAGTGTAATGCAGCATTTTGTTCTCTCGAAGCTCGAGATCGGTTAGCTTGTATCCAGTATCATGCTCGATGTCAAAACTTACCATCTTGGCACATACAGGAGGGATTGGAAAATTGTATCCTAAATAATACGGAATTTTTAGTTCGTCTGGATAAAATAAGTCCATTTTGTTTTGAGCATCCTTTTGCAGTGTCAATGCCACATTCTTCCCTCGATTTCTGATCGTCTTTGGCCCTTTAAACTTAGGCTTTGTACTTTTCTTAATAAATCCTGCTTGATTTTCCTCTGTTATACCCTCAACTATCCTTTCTGGTTTCTCTTGTGACATTTCCTATAAAAATGAAGGATTTCAGCTTAAAAACTACCTCAACCATGGCTAACTTTTAAGGGGTTTTGGGGTTTTGGGGTTTTGGGGTTTTGGGG